CCATGAGTTCATCCGATGAAGACATTGCTGTACCATATANAACAGGTGCAATGAGATCCTGTCCGACGTTTTGAACGTCCTTCTTGACTTATTACCTATCGATATCTCCATCGAGAATTCAGCTGCTAACAGCGCCATCAGACTGCGTGCCCTGGGGCTCTGGAAGGAAAGACCGTTCGAACACGGTTCCATCCTAAACGCAATACCGTCTGAAATTAAAGCGCTGCCCACTGACTATATCCTGTCGAAGACCTGGGTTCACCATAAACCCCGCACGAAATTCCCAAGCCGCAGTGACTGAAATCAGGGAAATTTCGGTACTTGCAGGGCTTTACTGTCTTTACGGATGGGTCTCGTATATCCAGGCGGCTATTCAGGCACTTTCTTCTAACTCTGTTAGATCTCAGCTAATGGATGAATGTAGGAGAGAGCTGGCCTATATTTCTGATCAATACGAAATTACCCTAATATGGGTCCCGGGATATAGGGGCATCTACAGAAATGAGGCAGCGGACGAAATAGCAAGGAGTAGCTCCGCACTGGATGTGTCCCACGCGGTAGACATGGGTGCCTCGCTCAGGGAGATTAAGAAAAAAATTACCGAAATTTATCATTCGAAGCCCAGGCAGAGGTGGAACTGCACAGGATCCTACAGGATTGCCCGGCAGTTCTGGGTGTTCTACAACCCACTCAAAACCAAAGCTCTCTTAGGAATGGGCAAAACAAATACCTACAAACTTACTGCAGTGTGCACAGGGCACGGGCCTTTGGGGTACATGCCAAAAGGATACGACTGCCCTTCAATAGGTTCTGTCGCAGCTGCGATGACCCGGGCTCAAAAGAGACAGTCGAACACTTGCTGTGCGAGTGTCCAGTCCTCGCAAGGACGAGGCTAAAGACACTCGGCAAACCATTCCTGCAGAATATTTCAGAGTGCAGCTGCCTCTCTCTGTATGACGTACTGAAATTTATTAAAGCCGCCAAATGGCTGACGGTTGCACGAGTTGTGGAATCAAAATGGCAAACTTGCTAATTGCTTGCCATCAGGGTGACAATCCACTTAAACCAACCAACCAACCAACGCTTTCTAATGGCGTTTTCGTTTCTAACGAAAACTGTTACCTTATCATTGTCCACTAAGCACAAACACTAAGAACCGGGCAATGAAAAGGCAACATTTTTTTTAGAAACGAAAACGTCATAAATATTGCAACTATGCAAAAATATCAAACGCTTAGGTACATATGGGCCGTTTTTTTTTAAAGTGGCGTAAGTCATTTCTACCTCTTGTGCTTAAATGATTGACTACTTCTAACTGAATGCATATGTAAATCTTTATCATTAACTAATAGTCTAAGGCACGGTGCACATTAGAGCGATACGATATGCGATGCGATATGCGATACGATACGGGATACGATACGCTATGCGACATGAAATGCGCGCAGTGCACATTAGAGCGATGCGATACGCGATGCGACATGCGATGCGACACGCGATACCATTTGCGGTGTGATAGCTACACAAACGCCTTTCAGTTAATACCATGAGTTCATCCGATGAAGACATTGCTGTACCATATATTTTCTCAAATTTTTATATACGAAGTATACAAATATGCATATCAGAAGAAAGGAGTTTAATTGCCTTTGCAACGATACCATTTTTTTGCATCAATTTCAATTTCAATTTATTTGATATCGTATATACATTAGTACATTAAGATTAAATCTTTTATTGCACAATAAGAAATAAAGAGGATAAGAACATTCAATATAGGAAAACAAGAAGATATAACAAGGAATTAACAAATTTTATAGTACTTATAATTATACAGTGTTATAACAATAACCAACATAGAAATTTTATAACCATTTAAGTTGTTTTATTAGAAAAATAATCGTTGATAAGACCTTTGACGTTGTGCTTACGTAAAGAGTTCTTCAAAGATGCTGGCAGAGAGTTCCAAAGCTTTACAGCATTAACAAAAAATAACCTCGACGTGTTAAGATAATTATATTTCGGTAAAATAAAACTGGAAGAGCGTACACTTCTAGGGAACTTGAGTTTTTCATACTGGTATTCCGGTTTCTTAAACATAATCAGTTTGAACATAAAAAGGCAATTTCGAGCTTTTAAGAAATTTCTTAGGTCGCATCCCAGTATCGAGTTGCTGAGGGTATTTAAATTATCAAATTTCTTTAACCCATGTACATATCTGGTGGCAAAATTAAAAGCAACATTAAGTCTTTGAAATGATTGAGAGTCAAGTTCGCTATACACTACATCAGAATAAGTAATGAGGGGAACAATTAGACTAATCACTATATTTTTCTTATAGTAAATTTTTTTAACTACATCATTTATGTGATCCTCACAAGTCAGTCTTGAATTTACTATGAAGCCAAGATTTTTTACTTTATCAACTAATTGAAGAATATCAGCACCAAGATATGGGTGAGGGACCTCAGAGGGCTGGATCTTATCCTTGCATATTGGAAGCACATAGGATTTCCTAGCATTAAGGAGAAGCAGGTTTTCATTTGACCACTTAAGAATAGAATGCAAATCATAATTTAGTTGAAGCGCGATTTCATGAACCATGCTAGTGCGATCAGAGAGATAAAGCTGAACATCGTCAGCGTAAGCATGTAAACGGGCGTGTGAGCATGCATTGAAAATATCATTTATAAACATGCTAAAGAGAAGAGGGCCAAGTATGGAACCCTGTGGAACGCCCGAGTGAATGAGCAGAAGATCAGAGAAAATGTTATCAACTATAACTTTTTGCATTCTATTACCTAAGTAGCTACTAAGAAATCGCACTGCTAAATCCCCAAAGCCAAACTTTTATCTAAGTTTCTCACACAACAAGATATGGTTGACAGAGTCAAATGCTTTAGAAAAGTCTAGGAGACACAGTAGGGTAAGGTGACCCTGATCAAACTGATGGCGAACATCATCCAAGACTCTAGTAACAGCGGTTGAGCATGAGTGGCCAGCCCTGAAGCCAGATTGGAGCGGGTTAAGAAGATTATTCTCTTCGATAAACTGTGTTATCTGTTGTGCCATAAGCATTTCAAGGACCTTAGACAATCTGGGCAGAATACTTATAGGCCGAAAATCTGTAAGCAGGGTGGCGCCGGGTTTTTTGGGTACGGGAGTCACAGTTGCCAGCTTCCATGATTTGGGAAACGAAGAGGTAGTGAAGCAGTGGTTTATTAGATGTGTAAGGCTACTTAGTATATATGGTAATAGATGGCATTAGATTTTATTCGGAAAATACATTTAGCCACTTCATTCTCTCGCACAGCGGTGAACTGAAACCTTGATGATGGGAGGAAATTAGAGGGCGTGACATTAGGAATGAAGCTGCCTGAAACTGGAGAGATATTATGGGACGTGAAAAACTCATTAAGCTCATTAGCATCAAGAGAGCACGACGTGTTAGAGCTGGAAGTCACACCCATCCGTTTTAAATTCGACCACAACTGTTTGGGGGGCAACGCGAGTGTTTAACTTTCTAGTGTAAAACTGCTTTTTGACAATTTGAACGGTGTAGGTGGCTTTATTCCGAGCACGCTTATACGCATCCCAATTCGGATCAGTTGGCCTCCTTTTCCATGCATAGTAATGGAACGATACGAGTACCGAGTACAGAATATCGATACTTTTCATGAGTACTGAGTGGTATCGAGAACTCGATACTTTTCACAAGTACGGAGTAAATATCGAGAATGCCGAAAAGTATCGACGAGTTAAGAACTTTTTTAAGTAAATTTTTTTTAAATTACCGAATAAATATTGTGGCGAACGTTCGAATATTAACTTCAATATTCAATATGAATGTTATGAAAATGAACATAAGGCTCATTTACTTCAGTACTTTCTTAACTCAAAAAACTCCCCTTTGATAATGAATCGTGGAAGAGGATAGTCTTTCGACTCGACAACTTGGCCACTCTCCAGCATAAGGCAGCCGTCGTTAACCCATGTATTCTACCTTCGTTGTGAAATCCAGCCCATTCTTGAAGAAAATTTCTATAAAAAAGAGCTTATCTTTCCAATAGAGAATGGGCTTCACTTCACCACATTTGCTTCTCGTCTTCTACATTTACATTTCATTTTCAAAGTAAAGTTATTTATAAATACATGTACGCGTCAAACAATTATAAAATATTCAATACTATTAATTTACAAAGACGAAGAGGCGAAAAAAGCAAAGCAATCTGATTTTTGTTTACTTTTTGCGTTTGCTTTGAGAATACTTGGAAGTACGAGTATTATCGATACTTTTTTGCAAGTATGAGTACTGGCATCGATACTTTTTTAGAGTATTCTATATGAGTACTAGTATCGATACTTTTCTAAAAAGTTCTATCACTATCCATGCAGTATATAACGCATTGCGATTTTTAATCGCCAACTTAACTTTATGTGTAAACCAGGGGCAAGAAAAAGACTTGGAATTGACTTGTCGAAGGGTTACATGCTTGTTGTTGTTAAAAAATGAAAGAATATTATGTGTTAAAAAGTTCAGTTTATCGTCAGTAGTTTCTAATTTCCAACAGTAGTTCCACTGAAATTGGTCCAGACCACAAAACAGAGCGTCAAGTCGAATGGCATTATAGTCGCGATAGCAAAAAGCCTGCGGTGCATGATAATTATATGTTAATTTAAGGTCGAACGTACAAAAAATTAAGTCGTGATCTGAGACGAAGGACATTTGATCAAACAACAGAACAGACGTAGAAGGAGGAGCAATAAAAATATCAAGTAAACTAGGACGGACATTACAAGAGAATCTTGTGGGCATAAAAGTGTTAACGACGGACATACCAGTAAGTGCAACAGAGTCAAGAAAATGAGTCGAAGAAGGGTCACGAACAAGTAAATTTATATTAAAATCACCACAGATGATATAATGATCGTAATCAATAAGAAGTTCAGAAAGGTGATCGAAAAAAGGCTGATAACAAATATTCTTCTTGTAATTATAGACACAAGACACCAGCACTTTGGTATTAGTATCAGACAGAACGACAGACAAATACTCTATTTCACTCTCAGATAAATGGCTCACGATCATAACATTTAAGTAGCTCCTACAATATATGGATACCCCACCACCCTTTCTACCCAAACGATCATTTCGAAGAAGTTTGTAATTGGGAATGGAGTAGTAATGATCCAGAATATCTGCATGAAACCATGTTTCGGATACGCAAATGACATCAACTGACGAATGTTCAAAAGTGTGCCTAACGTAATCAAGCTTTACAGCATTAAGGCTTCGAGCATTGAAGTGGACAACTTTAAGACCATCTGCTTGCTTACAGAGCACATTTATCATTACTGTCTGGCTGCTATTATACATAGACTTATCTACCAACATCTTCTAGGGGTATATGCATAGAAACCGAGAAACAAAACATAATAAAATAAAATATAAATAAATAGTATGTGTAAGTATGTATGCTTGTATATATGTATGTACCCTGCAGGGAAACCGCGGACTGGTAAATCAAATTTCTAATTCCGTACTAGGCCTTTATCGCCAAAAAGGAACTAGTCCGATAGGAACTAGATCCCCACCAGTCCGAAGTCGGCGAAAAGTGGTACTTTTAAAAAAACTAATTATTTTCAGTTCTTTTCACCAGAAATCTACATCTAAAGTGACGAATTTAGAACTGGTTCGGAACTATAGAAAAAGAGATGCAGAACGAACTAGATCTTATTTGTCGAATTTAGAACTAGTTCGGAACTATCGAAAAAGGCATGCAGCGGGGGGCTTGTTTACTTTATATAGATATGTGTTCGGCGGCTTTTTCGTTCAAATACGCTTCCAGTCTGCACGTCGCAGATGCTTTTTCATAGTTTGGTAATACAAAACCAAAATTTGTGTTAACATTTCAACATCTTGGGACCGTCTGGAATCTAACACCGAGCACCTCTGCAAACTCAGCTACAGCTAAAGGTATGTAAACGTACATTTCTTACAATCATTCAAACAAATTTAATTTCAAATCGAAAACACATTTCTTTCAAAATAACTTAAAATCGCACACACGGAAGAACCAAAAATATTTAAAAATCATGATACTTTTTTTCCTTCGTCTGTCGATTTTAGAACTGGTTCGGAACTATAGAATATAGGAGTAGTTCGGAACTATCGAAAAAGGGATGCAGCGGGGGCAATTGACACTTCCTAGGATAGGGATGCCCAAATCAGCACATATGTGTCGTGGGCGACTGCGCGTGCAAAGCTTTGCACAGCGGTGCTGGGCAAGCGCGGAAGCAAAAAGTTATCGGAAGGGGAAAACGAAGTTAACAGAATAGTGAGATTGTATGTGTGACAGTGATGGAAAATGAGTGTGCATTGCGCCCTTTTTCGGCCCTTTCGGAAGCAGCCGGCACCTTCAGCACAATCAATTGATTTTCGGCACAATTTTTGCGTAACTCAATGCAACAAATAAATATTTCTTTCGGATCCGCAATTAAATATATTTTTTTTTACTTGTCAATGTTATTGTGGCTTGTTAACATTTTATTTTTAGTATTTTTTGTACAACGATTGTTTATTAGGAAAAATTGAAAAACCAACAAAGTCTAAGCGGTAGAAGTTATAGCACTATTTCGGAGATCACCACATCTCCTCATCAGACTTCTTTTTCTAGACTTCAGCAGGGATCGAACCTGCGAATTCGATGTTCAAAGTCAGAAGCGTTAACCACTGAGCTATGTACATCCCGTAAACTCTTGTTGCTAATTCATTTTCCTTATTCAACCAACTACTATCAAGTGCAGCTGATTTGCCGCTATTTAAACTCGACAGCGTGGTTGTTGTTGTCAATTCTATACATCCATTTGCTTATTTGCTTTTTTGTATAGTTTCAGGCAGGCTCTTCCTAAACTATGTATTTGT